CTCCTTTCCATGGGTATAGTGAAGTCAAGTAAAGGTTTATGAGCGGGCGGATACAACGGGACAGATTAAACGGTTTCGGTCGTAGTCTTTTGGACGCGCCGAGCGAGCATGATAAAACCTCCTAACCCTAGCATTAAACGGTGATTAGAACAAACACGTATTATTAAACGTTTTATGATAGTTGTGGAAGGCACCCACTGGAAGCCTTCCAAATCTCCCCGCGAAGTACAACACCTTTGTCAAATTTATTGTCAATGATCAGCGCTCGGCACCATCGCTTAGTTCATTACTCAAATCAACTAGTCCAGATAGCCCCCTTCCTTGGCCAGCTGATAGAACACACCGCTCCCACCCTTCACCAAGTTGCGAGGACTGTCGAACTCCACCACTCGACCGTCGCTCAGCACCATGATGCGGTCCGAGTCCAGCACCGTGCCCAGTCGATGGGCGATCGTCAACACCGTCGCGTCCTGGAAGTCGCGCTTGATCATCTCCTGCAGCTTCCTCTCCGTCGCGTGGTCGATGGACGCCGTCGCCTCATCCATCACCACGATGCGGCTCCGCGTCAGCAGCGCGCGAGCCATGCACAGCATCTGCCGCTCGCCCACGCTGAAGTTCTCGCCGTTCTCGCTCAGCTCGTACGCCAACTGGCCCTCCAGCGCCGACACCTGCGCCTTCATGTCCACCTTCTCCAGCGCAGCCCAGATGTCGGCGTCCGTGAACTCGTCGAACGGGTCCATGTACGCGCGCAGCGAGCCCTTGAACAGCACGGGCGACTGCGGGATGATGGACAGGTGCGAGCGCAGCGTGCGCAGGGGCATCGTCGCGATGTCCACGCCGTCGATGAGGATGCGGCCGGACACCAGCTCGTTGATGCGGAAGAGCGCCATGGTGAGGCTGGACTTGCCTGCGCCGGTGCGTCCGACGATGCCGATCTTCTCGTTGTTGCGGATGTCGAAGGACAGACCCTTGAGAACGGGTTTACCGCCCTGCTTGTAGCTGAACACGACATCCTGGAACTGGACGGTGGAGGAACGAGGCCAGGATGCATCGGGCTCGATCACAAGCCGTCGTTCATTTCCTTCAGCTGGGAGCGATCCGTACTCGAGAATGCGTTCGGGGCTTACCATTAGAATCTCCACCGATGACCAGCATTGCACGAGGGTAGCGAGGCCACTATCGACGCTCAGAGCGTACGTGAATGCCAGTCCCACCATGCCAGGGGACAGGAAGTTGCGTAGGTAGACCAACCCAGACACCACCACGAAAATGACGCCCGAGCCAATGAGCTGCATGCGGATCTGGAACCACTGCTGCGTGACGGTCTCTACAAACCAACACCTGCTGTTCATGGCGTTGCGGACGAAATTCTCGGTGACGATACGCTCAATGACCTCCTGACCAAACGCTCGAAAAACAACAACTCCTTCTTCGGACTGGGCTACGTGACTGAGCACAGGAGACGGCGATACACTCCACAGCCGGGAAAGTTCTCGAGAAAGAGCGAGGTAGAAGTTGGCGATCTTTACATACATCCATACCAGTGGGATGATCAGAGCGCCCAAGAAATTCATCGTGTACACAGCAGTAGCAAGTTGACACGCGGTGAAGAAGACCAAGGCTAGAAACCCTCCAAACGCAAATGGAATGATGAAATCCACCTCCGACATGTCATCACCGTACCGGTTCACGATGCGTCCGATGGGGTTAGCATCAAAGAAGCGAAGCGGAGCTCTCAGCAAAGACACCGTCATGTTGTCAAACAGGTGACGAGAAGCCCGAAGGCCCACAATCGCCACCGTCGCAGAGCGAACCAGCACCATGAAGGCAGCACCAGCTCCCAGCAACGCAAACACTTTCATGTTGTAAGCCGTATCGTCCTGGTCGTATGAACCGTTCTTCTGCCCGGTCCATTGACTCAGCCACAAGTCGCTTCCGATCTGGAAAATCTGCCACAGCGTCTGCACCACGAACAGGAAGATGCACACCTTGGCACCACCGAGCGAGTTGAAGTAGTTCGAGTACATCTCCATGGACACGCGGCCTTCCTCGCGCTCCTCGTCGTCAATAAACCGGCCATCATCCTTATCCTTGTTCGTGCTCTTCTCTCCATCGAGGCGGCTATCAGTCTTTTCAGAACGTGTCAACGCTGACAGCGAGTAGTTGGACCGCGGCAATGCAACATCGTGTCGAGTCGCCTTCACCTTTCCACCTTCCACCAGCGCCTTCACGTTCGCAGCTTCACTCGCGATGATGTCGGCGCTGTGCGTCACCAGCACCACCGTCTTGTCCGCCAGCAAGTTGCAGATGCAGTCGCCGAAGATCTGACTCTGGACGATCGCGTCCACAGCAGCCAGCGGGGAGTCAAGCAGCAGAATGTCGGCGTCAGAGTAGCATGCGCGAGCCAGGCACACGCGAGCCTTCTGGCCGCCTGAAAGGTTCACTCCCTTCTGGCCGATCTCCGTCGCGTCGCCTCCAGGAAACTGCTGCAGGTCCGGCAGTAAACCACACGCGGCGATCACGCGGGAGTACTTCTCCTTGTCGTACGGCAGTCCGAAGAGAATATTCTCGCGGATGGTCATGTTCTGGATCCACGTCTCCTGCGAGTAGTAGGCAACGCGACCGCGAACGAAGACGTTGCCGGCCAGCTTGTTCATTTCTCCCAGCAGCGCCGAACACAGCGAAGACTTGCCGCTGCCGACAGAGCCGTGCACGATGACCAGGTCGCCCTGTTTCACGGTGAGGTTCACGTGGTTTAGCAGCGCCGCCTCCTTCGTCCAGCCGAAGGTGCCGTCTTCAATAGCCATCACGACATCGTCTGGCTGCGCCGGGTCATCGCGTGTGACGTTGGTCGGGTTGAATTCGTCCAGCGAGAGGTAATCCGCGAATCGGCTGATCGAAATCTTGGCTTGGATGCATGTCTGAATCACTGTCGGCAAGTCTCTCAGCGGGTCACGGAGAGCGTTGAAGAGGGCGATGGCAGTGAACACCTTGGCTGCCGTCAGTACTTTGCCCATCGTGATCGCGTACACCGCAAACGAGACGGCCGACACCGCCAACGGAGAGCCCCAGAGCACGAAAATGTTGACAGCACCGAGGTACATGAAGCGCTTGATGGCCGATAGCTCGGTCGCCCGCAGCTTGTGGATCTTGTCGGCGAATTTGTCCTCCCACGAGTTGAGCTTGACGATCTGGATGGCGTTGAACACCTCCTTGATCGTCTTCATGCGGTCGTCCTTGTACTTCATAATGTCTTCGAAGGCGTTGCCCGACAGCTTGGCGATTACGAAACTCGCCAGCATGAAGAGAGCGATCACCGCCAGCCCGGCGAACGCGGCGAGGTCGATGACGTCGTAGAGCATGTAGACCACCACCACGATCTGGATGGGGATGATCCACAGACTGTTGATCTGGAAGGCCGCGAACAGCACGTTGTTGACGTCGGACGAGTAGAGGTTGGAGATGTCCACCGCCTTGGAGTCTCCCTTACTCTTGGTGCTCCGACGCATGGCTTTCCTGAACACCAGCGCCTTGAGGGCCACCGTCAACCGGAGCGAAACCAACTCGATGTAGAAGCGAACGTGAGACATCGCGATGCCGTCCACAAGTCGGGAGGCGAAGAACACTCCGAGCCAAATGCCGAGGTCGTACATGTCGATCGTCGGTGCCGCGAACACAGTGATTACGTGGTTCAGCACAGCGGGGGCGAACACATTGCACGCAGTGGAAAATAGCGTCGCCAGACCACTGAGTAGAATAGGACCTTCGTAGGCGGCCACCATGGCCTTGACGATGGACTTGTTGTGGCGCTCGTAGTGAACCACGAACTCGTCAAAGGCCGTAGCCGAGCGGTTCTCGCCCTCGAGCTCCCACAGATCGTCGTTGTCGAGCTGGCGCGTGTTGCCGGCGCTCATCATGGGGTTGGCGTACGAGAAGAAGAGCCGCGACCAGAAGGACGCTGTATCGGGCGTAGCGGGCTTGGCATTGTGCTCAGTGTCGTCCACTTGGTCGTTGACACTGGCAAATGTGGAGTACTTGAGCTGCCTGGACTTGGTGGCGGGAGACACGAGGGGCTCCTTGTCCGACTGCACCATGGCAAAAGTGGACTGGACTTGAGCTCCTGAAGGTCAATTGAAGAGTGACCGAGTGACTGGCTGGCTGCAGCAAGCGAGGACTGCAACGCGGAACGAGGATCCAAGTCCATCTGTAGCGCAACTATTACGCGACGCCGTCGCGTTGGCGGCGCAAATCTCCAAGACTGGACCAAGCGACAGCAGACGTGAAGCAACAAGTGCTTTTCGTCTACTGTACGAGTACGGTATGTTTGTGGTCACCGCAGAGAACGTTGCTCGCTGTCTCGCTGTGGACGAATGGAAACTCACAGATTGTGAGTCACGACAGCATCGACACTTTCTCTGCGTCACCGACACGTTTCCACAGCAACGCGTGGTACACCGGAAGGTGACAGCGTGCAGCGTTTAGCAGGACGACCAACGCCTCCCCAGCATCGTAGTTGCAATCCGCGCATGCACCTCTCTCCATACCAACGCTGGCCTCCGAGCTGCACCCCAAGCTATGATACGCTCGTTGAACGCTCTCGCCCCTATTTAATAGTTGCCGATCCCCATCGCAGCCACAGTAGAGGAATGTCGCCCGAGTCCACACGAAGCCGCGATCGATGCGCGCAGCAGAGCTCGCAGCTTTATCACCCTCACGCGTCACTCTTCTGCAGCGTCGGTATCCGTGAGATGGTCGCCCAATTTGGTCATCAGTCAGGACTTCTGAAAGTTAGGACCACACTCCAGACCAAATTGCAAATTCCATTTGAAAAACCTTCATCGTGTTTAAGAGCATATGCCGCTACGCCGACTAAATGTCATACAGAACTGTGTGGTCCACACAGCGGCATCCGTTTCCGCGCGATCTGGGGCACTTCCCAACCGGCCGCCAACCAACGCCACCAGTCAAGTCAACAAGCGCTTCCAGCAGCCATGGCGCCCCCTAACGTCGACAACATGTTCACGCTCAAGGTGGACAACGTTCCCTTCCAGATCGGGTGCGTCCTAGCTCGCCCCCCCTCTCTCTCTCGTGCCCTCGTAGTCTAACCCTGCCCCCCCCCCCCCCCTCGTAGGAGCGACGAGCTGCGCGACCTCTTCTCCAAGTTCGGCGAGATCGGCGACGTGTACATCCCGCGCGCGCGCGGCTCCAACGAGTCGCGCGGCTTCGCCTTCGTGCGCTTCATGGAGAAGCGCGACGCCGAGGACGCCATCGAAGGCATGGAGGGCCAGGAGTTCCAGGGCCGCGACCTGCGCGTGCAGTTCGCCAAGCAGCGCCGCCCCGACAACCCGCGCGAGTTCTACTCCCGCGGCGGCGGCGAGGGCGGCGGTGACCGCTACGGAGGCGGCGGCGACCGCTATGGAGGAGGCGGCGACCGCTACGGAGGAGGCGGCGGCCGCTACGGAGACGACCGCGGACGCAGCAGCCGCTACGACGACCGCAGGGACGACCGCCGCTACGACGACCGTCGGGACGACCGTCCGCGCCGCCGCTCGCGCTCACGCTCCCCGGACCGCCGTGACCGCGGCGACCGCGACCGTGGCAGCAACAGCGCTGGCCGCGAGCGCAGCCGTAGCCGCTCGCCCCGCCCGCGCAGCCGTTCGCCGCGCCGCAGCGCCTCGCCGCCTCGTCGTGACTAAGTAAGCTGCTGCTGCCGTTGCAGACGTGCTGGGTGAGTGCTAGCTACGAATCTGTCAAGGACTCGAAGCGACAAGGGTGTCGGCATCACCAGTACGAGCAGAGAGGCAGAGAATCCAGACGAGACCAGACCAGACCGATTTTGCTTGTTTTTCCTACTTCGGCCGATACGTTGAGCGGTCTGCATTGTTGCTGCTTTTCGAGAGAGTATTAAACCTGAACGAACCGGGGAGACGAGAAAGAGAGAGATTGAGACTTCTTGGGGACCCGGAGATCTGGACCAGCGTTGGCGGTTGTTCGTGGGAGGTGTTGGTGCATTCAATACGTGGTGTCGTGCTGTCATGAGGTGTTGTTCGAGTTGAGGCGGAGCCAGCAAGAGCAGCCATTGTGTTTCTGAACAGACGACCGATCGTCCTTCCGCTGCTGCTATTTCCCGCGCCGGTTATCGAGAAGGCACGATAGGCCCAACTTTCAAGCCAGGTCCTTGGTGTCCTGTGGTGAGTGACACGTCGTCAGCTATTGCATCTTTACAAGCTCCGGGGGCACTTCGAACGCTTGAAGACATTTCGAAGTGGTGAAGCTAGTCAATCATCGGTGTCTGATGAGATAAGACTAGCAGCGATGCATGGATTCGGGATTGAGCGATTCTAACGGCTGTAGCCGTACGTCCCAGGTTCGTGCTTCAACTGCAGGTTCTTAAGCAAGGCTTCTCTTCAATTCAACGGAAATGTGAGTGGGCACGTTGGATTCAGCTTTCATTTCAAAAAGTTTAGATCGTCTAGGGACGACAAAAGTGATTGGGAAAGATTGTGCTCCAAGGCATCTCGCCAGGGGCTTAAGCTGTGACGATGAGGAAGACGAAGAAGGCGATGACGCCAACCATCAGGCCGGCGCAGTACAGCGATCGCATATCGCCGTCAATGCTGGCGTAGCCGCGACGTCGGTAGCACAGGCCCACGGCGTACACGATAGCGATGAGCAGGACAGCACCACCAAGGCCAATGAAGATACGAGTGACCGTGTCACCTGCATTCTCCCCAGCATCGCTGTCGTCCGAGTCGCGGTCTTCGTGGTGCCCGTTGCCGCTACGGATAGGAATGGTCTCGGTGGAGGGCGCATCGGCCGCTTCGTCTTGGCAGCAGTCCAACTTGGCACCAGTCACGGGGTCAGGCTTGCAGCAGCCTCCATCCCATCCGCAGCAGTCCAGACCAGCAGCTCCGCACTTCGGCTGACCCTGGCAAGTGTTCGCATCACTCGAGTGCGACGAACTGGAGAGAACCGACACGGGCGTCTCAGACGAGCAGCAGTCCAACGTGACCCCAGATCCCGCACAGCAGCCTCCGGGGGCGCCACAGCAGTCGAGTTTGGCTGCCGCACAGAGAGGCTCACCATAGCAGACCGCGTCGTCTTTAGCCGTGTGAGCTGGCTTGTGGGTCGTGTTGCTAACCACCGGGTGCTGGTTCTTGCAGCAGCCCAACACGGCTCCTGTGATCGGGTCGGGCTCGCAGCAGCCGTCGATAGTGTTGCAGCAGCCCAGGCCCAGCACAGCGCACTCGTGTTCTCCAAAGCAAGCGTTGCTGGGCAAAAGAGCGGGGTCTTCCTGCGGGCAGCAGCCTAGGTGGCTGGGGCAGCATCCAGGCAACGTGCCACAGCACATCAGCGCAGTTCCGTTTTCTCCCGCCGAAGCGCACGCCGGGAAGCCGAAGCATTTGTCGTCGGCATCCAGGTCTGGGTTGCTCAATACGGCGCGATTCTTTTGGGCGAACCACGACGGGCGAGTAGCGATCCAATACATGGCGTTGGCGCGCGACGACCACGTATCAAACGCCTTGACGGTGTTGTTGAGCTCGTCCCAGGCGTCCGCTGCGTTCAAGATGGCGTGGTCCATCACGACGATGGAGCGCCAGATATCGTACTGGTCCAGGTCAGGCAGATCCTGGCTCAGGAGGGCGTACTCGCGTGCAACGTACTCTTCATCAAGCAGGTGCGGCGTGAACGGCGTGAAAGGGAGCATGTTGATGCCGTGGATGTACACAGCGCGATCTCCAAACCACGTGTTGTACACGGCACTCATCTCGCCCACAACGCCCACCATAGCGTTCTTCGAGAAGGCAGGCTCGTAGATCTTGGAGTTCTCCGCCATGTGTCAGTACTTCTTCACCGACCGCAGTTCCGTCGCCAAGAGCAGACGTGCGTACTGGTGGTAGGAGCTGTCTCCCTGACCTTCGGTTGCCTTTTCGTCAAGCGACGAGAAGAGCGCAAGAGCGTAGTAAGCGTTGAGATCCTCGCTACTGCTTTCCTGGGACTTGCCATCCTCCATCGGGAATAGACCGCTCGCGTACGAGTGGCCCACAAACCAATCTTTGTGGCGCGCCGTAGGGAAGAGTAGTCGAACCGGGAGGTCGTTGAAAAACGTAGTGTTGCTATCGAGCAGCGGCGTTCCAATGTCACCCATGAGCAAAGCGCAGGCTTGCGCGTGCTTTTCGATGAAAGCAGGGTCGAATTTCCGAATTGCCGCAAGCGCGTAGA